TCTGCTAATCTGATTAGAAGCCTTGACAAAGACCTGGTGGCCACTGCAAACAACTGCCATGCAGTTGCACAATAGCCCACCATTTGGGGTTACCTCTTCTACAAGAATAAATGGACCAAAACATCTGTCGTTAAGGTATCAGGAAGATAGACAAAACAGGAGGGAGAGTATCCGTGCTTGCAAGGGAGCCTGTCCTTGTGGTTCCAGTGGGCTCCCCTCGTGGTGTTGAATGTGTTTCAAAGTCAGCCTGTTGACTCATTGATTTCAAAACATAGTAAAACACTACTGCACTTGCTAACAGACACCATCCCATTCTAGTCTATCCCATCTGCTGAAGAAGTTCATCCTTCTCCATGCTCTGCCTTCCTGTCCCTGCTGGCCGCCTATAGTCCCCTCTACAGCCTCAGTTGGGTTAGAAGCTTGTGCTTTGACTGTGGTTGTTGTTTTTGGTTTTTTTTTAAGATTTATTTATTCATACAGAACTGGGGTACAGGCCAGAGATGCTGAGGATGAGAGGACCCACCAGAGACAGAGTGGGCAGCAGAACAGGCAGATCTACGAAGTATACTGCTAAGGGGAGCAGCAGGCAGGTCAGGAGGGGTCTGCCACGCCATGTGGATCTCCTCTGGGGCAAGCGGGATCAAACTCATGCGGAAGTTGTTTAAGCTTCTTAGTGCTGTGCTTTTACCCACTGTGCTACCAGGGAAGGGCCTAACTGTGGTTTTAATGTGCATTTCCCTAAGGACTAGCAATTCTACCCTCTGCCTTTCACAGCTCTTCTTTTGCTAACTATCTTTAAATCTTCTGACCATTATTTTAAAATAAGGTTGTTTTATTGTAAATTCTAAGTGTTCATTACATATTCTGGGTAAAAATTGTTGCCAATATTTTTGTTCAGTCTGAGACTGGCCTTTTTCTTAACAGTGGTTTTTAAGAACAGTAGCTTTAACATTGGTGAAAGACAATTTAGTTTTCTTTCATGAATCCTGTAGTTTATTCTGTAGCTGAGAAATTGTTGGCTACCCAACAATTTCCTTTTAGAAGTTATTTAGCTTTAACTCGTACATTTACATGTGACCCAACTTAAGTAAATTATCTGTGTTTGGTATGAGATCTGCATTGAGCTTTGTTTTTTTACATATAGATATTCCCATGTGCTGAGAAGTTTAGGATGTCACTTTACTAGACATTATCTCTGGATTAGGTGATCTTCAAATACCATTCAGATACTATTCAGCTCTGCCAGAAGATCTGAATAGACATTTCTCCAAAGATTTACAAAGGCAAGTAAACACAAAGATGTTCAATATGGCTGGCCACCAGGAAACCACACATCAAACCACAGTAAGATACTACCTCACATCCCCTTAGGATGGCTAGAGTTTAAAGACAAAGATAGTATCAAGTATTGACAAGGAGATGAAGAAATTAGAACTCTCATACACTACTGCTGGTGTGGCCATGTGGAAAACAGCCTGGCGGTTCCTCATGTGGTCATAAGATTGAACAATTGCAATTCTAAGTATGTAACCAAGAGGAATGAAAAAAAAAAAAAAAACATGCCCATAGATATACTCATACGTGGCTGTCCATAGACTTGATCTTGATGGCCAAAAGGTAGAAACCAAGTGTCTATCAACTGATGAATAGACAACAGACAAAAAGTGGGCTGTCCATATGGTGGAGTCTTACTCAGCAAAATAAAGGAGTGAAGTACTAATACGCATTACATCAGGTATCATGATGAGCCTTGAAAACATACTGAGTGAAAGAATCCAGGCACAAAAATCCATGTTTAGTATGATTCCTATTGTCTAGGATAGAGAAATCTATAAAAACAGATGCAGGTTAATAACCAGGTTGATGGCTGGCTGGAGGTTGTACTGTATTGAAGGACAGCTGGGTATGGGATTTCTTCAAAGGGATGATGAAAACCTTCTAGTCAGAAAGTGGTGATAACTATATAGCCCTGTTGATATACCCACTGATTTAAAGGAGTGAGTTATATGAATATATATGCAACTTTCAAAAAAGTCAGCCAGACATCTTTTCTTTGAAGATATAAACATGAATTTATTTTCAGGTGAATTAATGTATCTGTGACATTCAAGGGTACATTTAAATTTCAGGCTCAAGGTTCCCCATTCATGTAAGTGCAAGACAAGTAGAGCATGACTGGTTGTTCTTCTTGGCAGTGGGTTGGAATGACTGATCAGTGACACAAGGCTGGTTTCCTCTAAAGCTATTTAAAACTCTGTTCTCTTTAAACCAGCATCAGCAGCATTTCAGCAGCAAAGTGGGTCTCAGGTGTATAACTGGGGGTGAATATCAAATTGCTTTCTCACAGCCAACCTTTTTGCCTAAGGCAAACACTAGGAAGACTTCCTGAATGAAGACTACAGGCATATGGCCAGCAGCTGAGTAAACACACATTGAAACAAGTTCCCTGTGGGGAGGGGGGGATGGGAGTTGGGAAAGGGGGTGGCTATGCAAAGCCTCCAAGTCACATAGCTCTTCCAGGCTTCCCTGTGATGTCCGTGAAATCAAAGCCTCCCAGTGCACTCTGTAAGCTAAAGTACTGGGTATGGACAGATTCCTCCTCCTCCCCCCCCCCCCCAGGCAGTATAAGGACCCCAGTCTTTAGCATTTATTTGTCTGGGCCTTGGTTTATGGATGCAAAAACTCTGTGGTTGCTTTCCAGATCAGGCTGTTTTTTCATACCTTTTTTTTATGTGTAACTGTTTTGCAGAAAGCCTTCAAAAACATGGTAGACAGATCTCTGCTTATCAGCGTAAATCTTCTTGAGTCAGTTGTCTTTTATGATGTCAATACAGTGACAGTCAAACTTTCCATCACTGTTGAAATGTGGGGATCTTAGTGACCACAAGCCCACTCTGCATTTAGAGTTATCATTTTCCACAATACTGTCCTTGTCCTCGAAGACACCACCCCTATCCTCCTGTTCCCACGACCTACCCTCTGTGATTCTTGTAGCACATGTGTCTCAAAAACTCTGTTTTGCGTGTCGTTTCTTTGGGCTGCTATTCCTTCGTTTCTTTGGGCTGCTATTCCTTGGCTTAGTTACTTAATTCCAGTTTTCAGCTGTGTTCTGGAACTCTGAGGTCACGATGCAAAAGAATGAAGCTGGATAAAATATGTCTAGAAGGAATCTCACACAACTCCCCAAAAGCTCTCAAAAAACAAAATTGAATGCCTGACCTTAGCCGAATGTCAGAATTTCCTTTCTTTTCTTTTTTTAAAGCTAAGAAGAGCACACTTCACTTTTCAATGACAGTGTCTACAGCCTTGCTTTACTTGTGAGAAGTCCTGGAGAAGCCATGAAACCAGCTTGGGGCTGGGCGTGCAGCTAATTTCTGCCGCCCTTAGGCCCCACACTGGAGCCAACTGAGCCACAAGCCACTTGCCGCAGCAGCTCAGCCTTTACATTCCTCATACAGTTGTTACTCATTTAGAAAAGCTTGAGGCTTAAAAGTCGACCAGCACTTTCCATTTGAAGCACTTAGGTATACATTTTCTCATTTAGAAAAAAAAAACCATCTGTACACTTGAGCCAGGCCAGCCCCAGCATTTGGTTAGGACAACCGGGTGTTTGGACATGTTCTTGCTCTGTCGGCATCTTTCATGCTCCGGCTGGGAACACTGGCCTCACACGCTGGCAACCAGCAAGCTAATGCTTGGGCTGGCCCTTTAAATGGTATGACACATCTCTGTCCCCATAAGACCTCACTTGACAGAACTAATCTAGTTTATCATGGCCTCGGGAGGCCCAGTCTCACAGGGCTCTTGGACACTTCCAGATGAGACTGCACCTCACTGTTCTGTGAAACTTGGAAAGAACAGGCAGCTGGGTTTGAGACAGGCCAAGGACTTGTGTCTGACCTCATCATCACCCAGTTGTCTATTTCTACATAAGGTGTATGAGGGGACTGGAAAAAAATCTTTCCAAAGCTGATTCTAGAGATGTGAAGTCCCCCTGTGACACCTACTTAAACAGACCCCAGCAGTTCGTCCCTACTTGCAGCCTGTTTTGACAGAATGACAAAAAGTTTTCCAAGAACTACAAAGATGGGCTTTTCATTCCTGTCCTTTGTTAACATTGTCAGATTCTTGTAAAAGTTTCATACTGTCTAATTACTTAAAGTTGAGCCTAAATTAAGGTCATTCTGGATGGCTATTGGCACCAGGGCTCTGCCACAATTACACGCTTATGTTACTACATAGGTGGGAATACCAAGCTCATCTTAGAACTGCAATCTACTTAACCCTGTTTTAGAGAGAATACTTTTGACTTCAGAACAGAACAGTCTCAGTGTGAAGTTAACTTTAAGCAGAGCATGTTCTTCTCCAAACCCCATTTTCCAGCATAGCCAGGGGAGAGACACCAAGATCTCCAGAAAAGTCCTGGTGGATGAGCTGTGAAGAGCTGTCTGCCAACATGATAAAGTGTGGGGATGGATGTGGTAGCAGGGATCAAACCGGAAGCTTCATTTTGAAAAACATAATTTTTAAGGCTAAATACTAAAACACCAGAGAAAGTCACTTTAGAATGAGAAACCTGGTAGATGACAACTCAACTCAGCAGTCAGGGTCTGCATCACCAAGTGATGTGCTCTCCACATCACACCTGTCCTGTTTCCTTAGTTAGGTGGCCTGGCCCAGGTGCAAGCCCACTAAGGAGGTGGGCCTTGTGGACAAACCAGTGGTTGTCCTGCAACATGTTCACTCTGGTTTACAGTGTGGGAGCCAGGAGGCCATGTGAACTTGGAGTTAACGGCTGCACTGTGGGCAAAGGAAGGGAAGCCATAGCCAGGACACCACAATGCGGTGTACTGGACAAAAGAACCACATGTGTGAAACGTAAGGACATCCAGGGAAGGAAAATGACACCCCAAAACAATCTCTTGCTTTTCAGGCCACTGTGAACATGTGTCTGCACCCTGTGACTCCACAGTCCTCTGATTCATTTCCTCTCCCCACAGGAAAAGTACCCAGAAGTTGTGCATCTTCCAGAGGGGGCCTCCTCTAGCTACATGGAGGTCCGGAGCCCCAGCCAGTCAGGGTGAGTGCACCTACCCCACAGGGCCACCTCCACAAGCACCTAGATGGTCATTTCCTGGTAAAAACTGGGATTACAAATAGTGAGAAAACAAATGTACAACACCTAACTGTTGTCTTGATCTGTGAAGTCAGAACAAATGCACAGGAATGGGAGTTCATAAGAAGGGAAAGTGGGGACGGTGACCGCATAGTCTCACTTCAGGGCCCAGGTCAGGAGGCAGCAAGAGCTGAGTGAGGGGAGGCTGCCTGGTTTCTCGTGCACATGACCCACTTGGGTGCAAGGTGCTTGCAGCTCTGGGCTTTGTTTTCTAAGCTGTAAATGGCATGTAGTTACGAAGACTTCGGGGATTTGCCCTGTTATTTAATAATGTTTCCAAAATTCACCTCTGGGGGGAACAGAGAACTCATTTTCACTTGTTTATATTCATTAGATGAATATGTATACCTCTACTTGCCTTGAGCATTTGGGTTATTTCTCACTATTTCTAATATTCCTGTACATGTTCCTCACCACATACCTAGGAGTGAAATTCCAGGTCACGGGGTGGACTCAGTTTTCTGTCACTGCCAAATTATTTTCAAAGTTAACTTATAATTATCACTGTACATTTCCCACCAGTATGAAGTTCCTGTCCCTCCACATTCTGACATGCTAACGTGGGGAGCACAAAGCAGGGTCATATTCCGGTCATTTCCATCTTCCTGTTTACTACTGATGCTGAGCAGCCCAGCTGAGTAACTGGCTGTACTTCCTTTGGGGCCAATGTCCTTAGGAGCAGAGTCAGCGGGGCATGGCCTCTGGGAGGCAGAAGGCCAGCTGCTCTGTTTCTGAAAACAGAGATGAGGTACTCCAGTTTACTTTTAACCAGATTTCTTTGTATGTTTTGCCTTTACAGATGCTAAAAGGCACTTAACAATGTATTTTACATCTTTCAGATTTGAATTAGTAATTGTCTGGAGGATACAAATAGATGAAGAAGGGAAGGTTTTGCCAAAGCTAGATCTTCTCACCCAAGTGCCTCAGCAAGGTAGGACCCTTGTAGATGTCTTGGGGATTTCCTAGTGGGCCCAATAGGCACCTGGTTCTACATGGCAATCTGAGAAGTTTAAATCTCACTAATGTACTTTTACATCATCTTAAAAACCACTTTTATTGGTCACTCAGAAATCACACTTCCCCAGGACTCTTCCTTACTGAATTTTTCCCCCCATTTTAAAAGAACAAATGTATTAGGAAAAGAGGTACCTGCAATAACATAGGCAGAGTCTAAAATCTGCCTGAAGGGGAAGGTACTCGTCATGACCACACCCCACCTTCCTCAGTGTGGCTGAGAGTCAGCACTTACACAAGAGATCATCACGATGTCTCTTAGCTAGTTCATCTTCTTTACAGCCCTTCAACTGGACAAGAAGAGAGTCATAGAAGCTGCTCCATTGAGCTTCCGAACCTTGCTCGGCGTGCTCGGCATTGAAGCCACTCTAGAGAGCCTGGTAGCATCACTCTGCACGGAGGAAAACAACTAGGAACCAGTGAGTGCACCTGAAGTGTGTGATTTTATTGAATATAAACATGTGCTATTTTCTATTTAGAAACCATCCCTTTAAATCATGTTGTCTATGCAGTTATGGCACATTACATATACCTGTCATGACATGAAAAATAAATACAGCCATTTAAATACAAAATGCCTAACAAATGACACATATAGGATAACATTAAGAAAGGGTACAGGAGTAAGTGTCTGCCAACTTCTCCCTCTTGCCTCACCTCAAATCGGAGGGTATAGGCAGTGCCAGACCTTCCCCTGCCATTTGGGGGTAACTGGAAGCAAATTTGCTAAAACCCTCATTTCTTAGATATTCTTCAGACACCCCAGTGGGGACTCTCAGCCTTCCTTATCCCCACATCTGGAACATAGCCTTCTTGGTCCTCCACAAAGGGGGAAAAAAATGCAGCAGTCAGCTTTAAAAGTGCCACAAGATAGCAAAGACATCACTGTTCCTTCGCAGAAAAACTCCATGCCCCTCTCTACCACCAGTGGTCCAAATCCCCACATAGAAGAAATAGGGTTGGCATCAAACCCCCCACCCCCTAAGTTTGAGTGACACTGATTTCAGACAACCATTAAAATGTGTTCTAGTCAGCGAAAACAGTTTCAGTCAAATGAATACCACTGACAGGCAGAGCCACGGTAGAGTGCAAGCTAGCACTCCTCCTGGCACAGGAAAGCAGGGTCCAAACAAGGCTGACAGCCACTCCTGATGTGTGCTCTGGACCTGCCACCTGCACATGAGAACAGCACTCCTGCACACCCCTACAGTCCCCAAAGCCCTCAGGTCTCAACACACACATGAACGAGAGAGGTGTCAGTTGAGTATCTTTCCGCACCTCTGCATTATGAGAGAAAGACTTGTAAAGACAATAGAAGAATAAACTCTAGAAGATCGGGCTTGATTCAAACAAGTGTAATTCTCAAGTTATCACAAAATTTCCCACAAAAATTTACAATCAGCAAAATAGTCTCCTTATTTTTCATGTGGCATTTTCATACAATTCCATGGTTTCACTAATATAATATTATGTTACAATAAGCCTTCATTAGTCCCTCAAAATGATGATATAAATAATCAATCTGTACAACCTACCATAGAATAAAAAACTGAAGCCAAGATCCCCGACAGTTTTCATAGCAGCTGGGCACACTTGGTGACCCCAACAAGACCCTCTTGGTGCCAGCCAGGAGTCTCTCATCATGGAAGAAGGGCCTTAGCAGCCCTGGAAGGGAGGTGGCCCAGCACCACACAAGGCTGCAAACACCACACATCTTAGTGGAACTGAGGGAGAAACAGATGGGGTGGGGGGAGCTCGACACTGGCTCTGACAGAACTGGCTGAGGTTTCCTTGCCACCCAAACACCCACAGAGCTGCCAGGATCACAGCCACCCAGGGATGGCTGCAGCTCTGCTTCTAAGATCACAGCAGCAATTCCAGTTGGGGAAGAACACTTGTCTCCCCTAAAGTTAAAATCATTCAGCAAAACAAAAAGTCAACGCCCACATGAGTGGTGTCCACCTTGACCTGAGTGCCACCTCCCTGCTAGCCCACGCAGAGCAGTGGGCGTGGTGCCTCCACAGGGGCTCCAAGTCCATGCTGCTCAGAACCAAGTCCACATCAATGACCCCTCACAATGCAGGGACCAACAAACACCTGCACTGATGTGTGGTTTGCAGTAAAAAAAAGTGACCAAGTAACTCAGCTGGGAAAGTTCCAGTAGTATCCATGTTTTCTCAAAAGTCCAAACTGTAAGATGTATGTGATAATTCAAGTTTTCTATGTTATGAGTTTGTTGGTAGGAGATCCAAACCTTGGGTCTTTGAGTAAGGCTTTTTGCATTAGAGAATTAAATTTGAGCCCTGGGGTGAGAAGGAAGAACTGTCCAGAACATTTTCCTGGGGCTTGATAGAAACCCCGGTTTCTAAAAATGAGCGGCTTCTGGGGACACAGCTCAACATTCCTGGGCTCACAACTGACATTCCTTGTCCTGGATGGTGTTTAGTGCTTTTCCATTCTGTGTCTCCAGAGGCAATCCCACCTGAACAGGGATTAAATAGCAAAACATTCATAGCCAAAAGCCACCCAGCACAACAGAAAAATAGCTCTATCACTCAACCTTCACATTCTGTGTTCAAGTTTCAAAGACACTACAGGCAAAGTTAGACCTTATGGAGAACTAATGTGCACTCTTCACTTTCCTTAAACCTTGTAGACATCATGGCAGCATCTTTGGCACGTACAGTCTTTGAGTAGTAGTTGACTATCTTGCCATCCAGCACATACTGATGAGGAATGCTCTCATAGGGCTTGAGGTCAAGGTCCAGCACAGACACAGAGAAGGCCAACCGGGATCTCGACGAAGGGACGACGGGTATCTGATCAGGGCTGCAAGTAAAAAGGCAACTTCAGAATGCACTGATTTCCCAACTCCTCTCATCCCTGCTCACAGAAAGCACCCAGTCTTCTCTATCTGTGCCAAGTGTGAGTGCTGTGATTCTGGCCACCAGCCAGGCAAGACAGGATTAAAGTGCAAAGAGATGGAAAAGCAATTATACAGACCCTGGTGGTTGATATTTCCCATATCCCAGTGGTATAAACCAATGCTGAAAAAGTCACTTTATCATAAGCCAAGTATTACAAAACCTAAGAAAAAGAAGAAAATAGATCTGGCCATTCAACAGCCAAATGGATGAAATGTTAAGAACAGACTCGCTTTATATGCCTTTCCCATGTTTGGGAAGAAACTTGTGCTCCTTTATGCTTTTCACATTTGGAAAAAGATCTGGTTTCATGTTTTATTCTCAAATCTTACCTACAGTATTTTATATAGTTTTAAGACTATCTTGTGCTTTCCATGAACAAAATGGCTATATGCTTGCAACAAAATATGAATAAATGCGTATACTTAAACACTTCAGAAGAACTAGGAATACTGTGTACCCCTCTTGGCCATCATAATGCTTGGTACAAATGACTGCCTATCAATTATACGAATTCTGGTTAATCCAAGAGAAGTATGCCAGAGTTCTGGTTTCCCCATACTAAAACAAAACAAGGAAACATCAATTTCAAAAGCTCTCACCTGGAAGATGAGAGGTCAGTGAACAAGTTCCTGTTCTGATGAAGCTAATCCAGGCCTAGATTCTCAATCACTGCTATAAATTACTGTCTGTAGGAAAAATAAATGCTATGCTCAGTTGTTGGGGTCTTAGCTACTCTCCCATGAATGGCAGAGAAAACATTTACACATTCTCTGAGTCTTGCACGTGGAGCCCAAAATGCAAACTCCACAAAGCTGGATGGTTGATTCTAGCTTTGATAGGGTCTACACCTTTTAAAGGACAACTCAGTTCTTTACATCAGAACCAGCATCCAGCATCTGTTTATCCTCTGTATAAACAGAGGATTCCATCATAGCAGCTGATGGGAGCACAGCCCAAGTTAGCCTAGGGCAGTGAACTGGGTAGCTCCTGACAAACAGCACCTCTGCACCCCAGGGTAAGCAGGAACAGGTGGTCCCCAGGCCATAGATACCAATGGTGATCCCCTTCCTCAGAGGTCAACCCACCCTGGAACTTAGTCTTCTAACTTTACTAGGCACCTCACAACACAGCAAATAATGCCAGTACAAGTTCTCCTAAAGAGGTCACAGGCTCGACCCTGGAGAGCCCTGATCCTGGCAGGCCCCACTTTTCTTCCTCTTCAGAACGCTCACCAGAGGCAAGTCTGATATTGTTTAAGGTGTTGCACCTTGCTTCAACTTGGTCACAGAAGTCCCAATTTCTATATGCTGAACTTCCCCTGGAATTTACATATGCACATTTCTAAAACATTTACCATTTAAAAGAAGTTTATATAAACATCTTAGGAAATATTTTCCATAACTCATCCTTAGTCCTTAATCTGTATTCCCTCGCTTTTCCTTAAAACATTCATGTTTATCAGTATAGCAGTACCATCAAATGTGCTCCTGACACCCTGGGAAGGCATTCAGGATAAAATGTTAAATGACACAAAATTATAAACTAAATAAGCAAGTGGCTGTACTATAACTATTTCATGGGGGGGGGGCATTTAGAATATTTTCAAATTTTTGGTTAAAATCGCACTGTAACATAAACCTCCCTTCACACACAACTGGAAGTGAAATTGCCAGACATGAGTCCACTCCAAATCCACAGCCTTGGAGTAGGGTCATGTGTTTTTTCCTTAAATACTCGCCAGCCTCGCCACAATAGTGAAGGCAAAGATAAATAGATGGGACTACATCAAGTTAAAGAGCTTCTGTACAGCAAAAGAGACATTACTAAAAACAGACAGCCCACTAATTGGGAAAACATTTTCGCACACAAAAGTAGTGATAAAGGACTGATCACAAAAATATACAGAGAACTGATGAAACTCAACAAAAATAAACAACCCCATCAAAAAATGGGCAGAAGAGCTAAAAAGACACTTCTCCAAAGAGGAAATGCAGATGGCCAACAAGCATATGAAAAAATGTTCAACATCACTCATAATAAGGGAGATGCAAATTAAAACCACAATGAGATACCACCTTACCCCAGCGAGAATGGCACATCTTCAAACAACTAGCAACAACAAATGTTGGTGAGGATGTGGAGAAAAAGGAACTCTCCTGCACTGCTGGTGGGAATGCAAACTAGTACAACCACTATGGAAAACTGTTTGGAGTTTCCTCAAACTGCTAAACATGGAGCTTCCCTACGACCCAGCAATCCCACTCCTAGGTATCTACCCAAAAGACACAAAAACACTGATTGAAAAAGATACCTGTACCCCCATGTTTATTGCTGCTTTATCTACAATTGGAAAAACATGGAAGCAGCCCAAATGCCCAAAAGTAGATGATTGGATAAAAAAGATGTGGTACATATATACAATGGAATATTACTTAGCAACCAAAAAAGAGAAACACATGTCTTTTGCAGCAACTTGGATGGAGCTGGAAAAGATCATGCTTAGTGAGATAAGCCAGAAAGAGAAAGAAAAATACCGGATGGTTTCACTCATAGTAGGAGTATAATGGACCAGGCAAGAAAATAACAAAAATAATGAACAACCATAGACCAGAGACATTTTGCGGGGGTTGAGTGGGGAATGGGATCAAAAACGGGGGGGTAGGGAGGGAAATGCACAGGATTATGGTGATGGCACACGGGTGACTTGGCAATGGGAAACCCGCGGGGATTACAATTGAGATGGAAAAAAAAATGTACAAAATGATGTAAAAATAAACTTTTGTAAAATTAAAAAAAAATTCTCAGTGAAATAGGGTTAGGGAAAAATTCTTAATCTAATAAAGATTACCTATGAGAAAACCTTACTTAACTCCATATTTAATCATTAAATGCTTTCCTTTGTAAAAAAAAAAAAAAAAAATACTCGCCAGCCTGATAAAGGCACAGTGTGCTGTCTGCACGTAGAAGGTGGAGCCCTCCTTGTGCAAGTCCTATTCTCACTATTTCTGTCCCCTTCCAGTCACTGTCTCTAATTTTTAAGAACAAACTCCCTTTTTCACTGGCAAGAAAGATGAGCTACAGCACTCTGGACATGTCCCCTGCACCTCCGCCAAGTCTGAGGTGCCAGCAGCACCTGTGCTGTCTCTCCCAACATGTCAGGGTGGGCTGTAGCCGGCCCCTCGGGCAGCATCTCCATTCGACAGCACAGCTGACCAGGCACAAGCACTCAGGTGCCAGCAGAATGGATGGCATGCTTGTACTGCAGTAGCCCTTTCATGTCTCACACCAGCCTCTGAACCTGTTTTAGGAAATTTATTCACACGTGTCTACCTCCCAGCTGCACACTCACTTCAGGAGGGTGGAGAACACCCATGTGTTTCTCTCTTATCTACCAACACCAATTCAACCCAGAATGGAGGCCTCATAGCTGAGCTTCAGGGGCACCTCCTTAGGGTGGAACTGGATTTTTCAACTAAAAAGAACAATTTGGACTTTGTATGCCCTGTAAATACCCCTCAGTATATTCTATCAGAAAGTGGAGCATTCTGTGCTTGCCAGGAAGCACAATTCCTATGAACACTTCCTTCAAAACAGAAAAACAGTTGGCTGGCAGCCAGCAGTAAGGTGATTTTCACCCAGGAATAGGTCAAAAAGATGTGAAACATTTTGCAAATACTGGGTATAGGGTTTGGCACTCAAAGATCAATGCTGAAGATGCTATGTAATTAGTGTAAGATTACCAGGCTCATCCTGAATTCCTAAAAGCATGGCAGAGAATGGACTTAGGTAATGAAGATGCCCAGGGAAAGAGACTGCGTACAGCATGCAGCACAGTGGGTGTGTTACAGGGAAGCCCAGAGTGGACTGGGCCGCCTGTCTGTGGGGACTCACCCATGCACTCACAAGTCAGTTACACTGCAGGTACACACAAAAGGGTCAATAACAGGTTTATTTACAAAAGGGGAAAGGTATAGGAAACAACCCAAGGAAAGAGAGCGGGATACAAAGTAACTGGAATACTTTATGGCTAGGCTGACTGAATGCACCAAGTCACGAGGTCAGGAGAGCTGCTTCCCGAGAGAGAGAGAGCACGAGCAAGCTCCTGTCAGGCTCCTAAGCAGCTGTTAGGCTGCCATGGGCCATATCCTCCCAACTTCCCCAGCTCATCCTGCTGTGCCACCTGTATAGGTGTCATACATACCTGAATAACAGCTGCTCAGGAGCCTGACAGGAGCTTGGTGTCACTTTTGAGAGAAAGGAATTTGCACCAGAGTATCCAAAATGCTTCCAAATCCTTGTGTGTGTATTGGGGGGGAGGGGGGGAGGAGTATTTTCTCAGGAAATAATAATAATCTACAATTTAATAAATACTCTTATTATTCCCCATAAATACCTTATTGACTGAATTACCAGGTTCAAGCATGTAAAACTTAATGTGCCACATGATACCAAGTAGGCCTTAAAGATTAGCCTTTGTTCATAAGGATCACCCTGCTAAAGAGGCCTCTAACAAGAGAGAACCAAAACTTTTGTCAATCTACAAAAGCCAGTCAGAGCAAGGCCACATGACAAACAGTGGGTGCCTCACCTTGCATCCTGCAGACAAGGGGACAGCGCGATCATGATGGAGCAGTCCTTCGCAGTCATGGCCACCCGGTACTGCTGAACCTGTAGGAAGGGAAAGGTCAAGCTCCAGGCACCATCACCACATGCACCCTCCCCCTGGTGTGGTCTTACAGGAAATCCCATGCCCTGGACCAGAGGCTAGCCCTGGTCTCTGCCCTCTCCCTGCAAGCAGTATGTGGACCCTGACTGCAAAGGGGCTCAGGAGTGGCCTCTGCTCCTGGTGTGCTGGCCACAGACAGCTCTACGTGAACATCACTCCAACCTTAAGAAAGCACACAAGGCCCTACTCAGAGCAATAAACCATCCCTTGGGTCAAATTGTGTGCTAAGATGTCATGCAGTCACCAGGTAAGATCCTGCAGACAGAGGATCACCAAGGAGTCTTGATTCTGTGTGTGCTTTCAACATCATGCCACAAGCATATGTAAACACTACATAATGCTAACCTGAATGATGTCCACCAGGGCCACCAATGCAAAGTTCTGGTTGCTTACTTTATGTCACAGACATACAAGAGGAGATCAGAATTTTGATCGCTGATCTCTATAATATTTGGGATTTTTTGTTTGTTTTTAGCTCTTTTCCCTAAACTTTTGATATATCATTTGAATTTTTTAATTTGAATAGTTCTAATTTATAAAAATAATATAGCTCTATAGTACCACCTCAGCATTGATCATCTTGATGAATGATGATTGATCATCTTTTATCAGTCATTCTCCACAGCTGTCACACAGATGGGACCACACCCAACTATGCATTCCACAGGCAGGACTATGCAGCAAGGAGTCAGGAGAGCCCCAAGCCAGTTGACTTCAAGAGTGCTAACAGCCTTTGGTGCCTATGGCACTTACGTCCACTTGGACCATTTATCTGAGAAATCAGGAATTTCATGTAATACTCAAAACCCAGTCCAAAAGATTCAGAGATAAGTATAATAAAGTATATAATATTGTGTCCTTACAATTGTAGCAAATGAAATGGAAAGACAATACAGCCAAAATGGACATGTTACCTATACCAATATACAGATTCAACGCAATTCCTATCAAGATCCCAAGAATATTGTTCACAGAAATAAAACAAAATATTCTAAAATTTGTATGGAATCACAAAAGAACCTGAAGAACCAAAATAAAAAAGTAAAATGGGGGTATCATGCTCCTTAGCATCAAACTATAATGCAAAGCTATAGTAATCAAGTCACTATGGTATTAGGGAGAAATGCAATTTTACTTATAATCAGTACATTCTATATCCTTTTTAGAGGAAAATGCTTAGCTTTAAACACAGTTTAGAAAGAAAGAAATGCCAAAAAAAAGCTATCGAAAGGACAAATTATCCAAAGGAAGAAAAAAAGAGCAGAAATTAATTAAATAGAAAAGAGAAAACCAATACCAGAAGTTATGAATAAAAGAAAGTTCTTCAGCTCTTATATTGAGAATTTACTAAAAATTATATGCCAACATTTGAAAATTTTAGCTAAAACAAATTTCTAGAAAAACAAAATTTAACAAAACTGACAAAATAAGAAATAGAAAATCTGAAATTGATACCATCATTTAAAATTTTCCCACAAAGATAACTACGGGCGCAGATGGTTTCACTTGTGGTTCTACAAAGTATTTAAGAAGGAATTAATATGAGTCTTACTTCACTTCTTCCAGGGAACAGAAATGAGCAAATACTCTTCAAATGTTTTATGAAGCAGTCTTACCCTTGATACCAAGACCTAACAAAAATTACAAAAAACTCATATTGCTCACAAATATATAAGCAAAAAAAAACCCTCAACAAAATATCAGAAAGCCACATACCTCTGATATATGAAAAGAATATTACTTCACTACAAAATGTGGAATTATCCACAACAGAAAATAGGCAAAAGCTATGTGATCATCTCAATAGAAACAGAAAAAGCACCGATATAATTCAACATTCATTTCACTCTTAAATAATGAAGGGAAGGGAACTTCCTTAGTCTTATCATGGTTATTTATTTTAAAAAATGTAATCCTGGGCCCTTCCTGGTGGCACAGAGGGTTAAAGCACTGCACTAAGAAGCTAAAGCCACTTCTGCATGAGTTCGCTCCCCGCCTGCCCCGGAGGAGATCCACATGGTGTGGCAGACCTCTCCTGGCCCACCTGCTGCTCCCCTCAGCAGTGTACTTCGTCAATCTGCCTGTTCTGCTCCCTGCTCTCTCACTCTGGTGAATCCTCTCACCCTCCGCATCTCTGGCCTGTACCCCAGTTCTGTATGAATAAATAAATAAATCTTAAAAAAAAAAAAGTGATCCTAAAAATAACCCTGTTATATTTAACATTTAATAATAAGAAAACGAGTAGATTAATGAAATCTCTTAAGATTAGAAACAAGACTGGAATTCCCACATTTATTTAACTATATGCAATATAACAATGAATAAAAGCAATAAAGTAAACTATTAAGGTTGAGTTTAACAAGGCTGACAACATATAGGGTCAGACAGAATGAATTAAAATTCCCATAAATCCATATTTAAAATGTTAAAGGATTACGGGTGCTCTGGTGGTGGGTATGGTGCAGTGACACATATCTGGGAAAGTGTGTGCCTATCTCCCCATTGTATATACAACGTTGTAAGCTAATGTTACTTCAGTTATTAAATCAAGCAAACAAAAAATAAATAAAATGAAATATTTTACAAGACACCAATGATTTCTAAAACCATAAAATATCTGGGAGTAGACCTATAAATAGACTGCTCTAAAGAAAATCATGTTTTCAGCAATTTTAAGTAATACTTAAGAAAAAGACACACTACTGCAAAAATGTCATCTTATCATCACTTTAGTGCAACAAACTGAAAACCCAACTGTTTTGTTATTGTTTTCCCATATAGAACTGAAGAAGTTGATTCCAAAATTTATGTGGACAAACAGAAGGTACTTATCAAAGCTGTTTCAAAAGGGTCTTTTAAGGCACTTATCAAAGAAAAGACTCTTTCTTTGAAGAAGGTAGAAGGTCATGCCCAACAGGGTATCAAGACTCCACAGTGATCAGCACAATTTCTATGATTCTGATTCTGGAACAATCCCATATGACAGTGAACTATTTCATTCCATACCAAAAGTCAACTGCAGATGATTGCCCTTCCAAATGTGAAGAGCAAAACAGTAACATTTCTAAAGTATCTTTATAACCTTAAGATAGATAAAAAATAAAGACATCTTATGAAGGAAAACAACATAAACTAAACTACCTTAAAATTACGAACTTTTGTATCTTAAAAGGACTCCAGAGAATGAAAAGACAAGCTACAGAGTGGGAGAAAATACCTGCAGTACAGATAACTGATAATATCCAAAATACATCAAGACCTCTTCAAATCTATAAGAAAAATACAACCTGCAAAAAAAAGAAAAAAAAAAAAAAAGGCAAGAGACTTAAATGGGTACTTCCCCTAAAAAATAAAAATAAAAATGGCCAATAAACATATGAAAAAGTGCTTCATCCCATTACTGCAAGAAGCCACCCTCACAAACACTAAATGGCTAAAATTAGAAAGTCCCACCAACAAGTGAGACAGGATGTGTAACTTCTTAACTACCCCAGCCTGGTGCCTGGATTGTCAATAGGTCAAACTGTTGAGCAGTACCTGTTTAAGCTAAAAGTGCTCATAGATCCAATCAGAAGCTTTCCTCTTAGATGTAGTTCCAAAAGAAATGTATGCATATGCACACCAAGAAATCTGTTTAAGAATATTTAGAGCAGTTTTATTCAAAACAGTTAAAAACTACAAACATGGCCCTCCCTGATGGCACAGCAGGTTAAAGCACAGCACTTAGAAGCTAAAGCCACTTCAGTATGAGTTCGATCCCCATCCCAGAGGTGACCCACATGGCGTGGCAGACCTCTCCTGACCCGCCCATTGCTCCCATCAGCAGTGTACTGCATTGATCTGCCTATTCTGTTCCCCACTCTGTCTTGGGTGAAGCCTCTCACTGCCCCCACACCTCTGGCCTGTACCCCAATTCTGTAACATAAATAAATAAATCTTAAAAAAAAAAAAAACTACAAACAACCCAATTATCTGTCAAATAGAATGAATAAATTGTAGTATATCCATTAAATGGAGGGCTGTAAAAACAATAAAAACACAGAAATGCATGCACTAACATGCAATCTATCTCAAATATTTATGTAGCATCTAAACAAATTTTCAGTCATAGGTTAGTGAAAATAAAGTTGTGACTTTTTTCTATCTAGGTTCATGGAATCCCTAAATTCCAATTTCACAGAACAAGAAAGAATAGCACCAGTCCTTTATCCCTAAAAGATTCTCCCAGGCTGCCCGTTGGCCTAAGTAATGGAAGAAAGTCACCCCCACACAGTCCATTTTGAGGCAGCAGAGAATGATCCCAACATCAGTGGTGAAAGCTGGGCCCCGGGTAGGTGGGAGCCTAACAAACCAAGGGGACTCCTATCCAAAAATTTAAAGTCATGTTCAATATCATTACCTGGCCCTGTCATCTGGGGAAACTTGAGTGTTTTAAAAGATTTACTTATTTATGCACACAGAACTGGGGTACAGGCCAGAGGTACAGGGGCAGTGAGAGGATTCACCAGAGCCAGAGTGGGGAGCAGAACAGGCAGACTGAGGAAGTACACTGCTGAGGGGAGCAGCAGGTGAGACAAGAGAGGTCTGCTGCACCATGTGGCTCACCTCCAGGTTGGGTACTGAACTCAAACCGAAGCAGCTGCAGCTACACAGTGCTATGCTTTTAATCCAGTGCGCCACCAGGGAGGGCCCAAGCTTTTTTTTTTTTTTAATCCTCAGTTTTTGTGCTTTAACCATCATAAATAGGTAGTAGGAAGCATTTTTTGTGAAAACCCAACTTAGTGTCAAGAACCTAAGGAACACACAGTATGTTTTCAGAGGAGCCCACTCACTTTTGTCAGTGCAAAGGCTAGTGTCCCGTCATCCTCAGTGGAAAGATCAAGCAGCTTCTGGTAAAATGTTTCATCATAAGGCCCATCTATTTGCAACGTTTTTCTGAAGGAGAAAAACACACACACAAAAAAAGGATGACAAAGCTGCCTGAAATCTCTCTGAAACTGCTAACAATTTAAAAATCACACATTTGGTTACAAGAACACCTAGTAGTCCACCTCCTTCAGATGTGAAACTTCCTCCTGAAGAATCAACATTTTAAAAAGAACTGGGCAAGGCCAGAAACACTGATGAAGGGGCCCAGCACACACCCAAGGTGTTGTCCCCAGTGACCCCAATACAGGATAGCCAGGCGCCAAAGGCCAACTGACACTTGGAGCTCAGGCTTGGGCAGAATGGCTCCCCTGTGAAGCAGCGCTGCCCCCTGCAGGCTCTGCCCTGACTCAGGACACAGAAAGGTCCATGACCATATGGGGATTGTCAGGGTCAGAGGATATGCTTTTTTTTTTAGTACCAGACAAGTGAATACAAATCTGACAGGTCAAGCCTAGCACCAGGAGCAGAGAGGGAAGGTGGCAGGGTGATCCCCCTGGGAAGCCCGGCTGTGCTCTTATTGGGACTCCCTCCTCTCCCATTTCCATTGCACCCTCAGGGTCATCCCGATGTATAAATGGGGGGACACCCAGGGCCTGGCCCTTACCTTTCCTCAGGAAACTCCTCCAAGTACCGTTCTACCCGCCTGTACAGAGGGTAGAGGCCTTCAATGTCCAGCAGGTCCAACATCTGCACCTGGAGGGTTTTGTACAGAAGACAGCCCTTCGGTAACCCCGACTGCTCCAGGGAGGGTTTTCCTACCAAGAACATCAGGGAAAATGAGAGGTTTACTGTCAGGAACTGAAGGTGGCAGGGTGCAGGCCTCATCCAGCCTTACAGAGTTGGTGGGCTGAGACAATTGGCCTGGCACAGAAGAAAGGGCAGGTGGTCCGCTCTCACGCTGTCCTTTCCTGCCTTTCAAGACAATCTCCAAGTTCCACCAGACCAACCCCAGATCTAGGTTAGAGAGAGCATCCTCTTTCTAAATAAGACAAAGCACAAAAGTTTAAATGATCATGTCAACATCTCCAAATCATCAACACAGCCCATATCTAGGTACCAAGGACAGGTCAAAGCCACCACCAATAAAATAGAAGTCACCACAGGACAGTGTGGGAATAAGGCCACTCTACACATGAACACTTATGGGTCCCTGCTGTATGCAGGCCATTTCCTATACTCCAGAGCCAAGCCAAATCCCATGAAAAAATGACCACAAGGAGTGGTCCTCAAGAGAACAGCTATGGCCGCAGGCCATCCTGATGCTGACCTCCCACTTCTGACAGGATGCACTCAGCTACCTGATACAGAGTAATGGTCACAGGCCAGCTGGGAGGGATCTGCAAAATTACAGGCTGTTCTATGTGGGAATGGCCAATAAAAGTTCAAGAAATAAACATGCTGATCCAGATACAGATTTATGCTAATTAGATTTAAAAAAAAAAAACCAGTTACAAAATAGTATGTAGGCCATGACCTTGTTTTTTAAAATTGATTTATATGTTTTATATCATTGTTCATGTTTGTACAGTGCATGCTTTCTCCTCTCAAGTGTAGTCCCATTAAATTCCCAGCACCAATTCACCCCATGCACCATCACCATAGTCCTTTGTGCTCCTTCCCTCCCCTGCAGAATGTCTGATTTACAGTTGCCTGTTAAGGTTTTGGTTTTTTATTTATTATTTTTCCCCCTGATTCCTTACTTGGTTCCCCTATACTCCCCCTATAGGTGAAGCCATCCAATATTTTTCTTTTTCCTTCTGGCTTAGCAAAACCTTGTTGTTTAAGCTGCACTTGCCACAGAGGAAGGTGGAAGAAGTCTCCAGTATCAGTAGCATGCTTTTCAGTGTGTCCTTCTAGACCCATTTTAGCTACCTGAAAGCAGTATGGCATAACTTTATCAAAATTTATGAAATGATTAGATACCACTTCTGAAACCAGAAAAACCCAAATACATCTGTGTTAAGAAAAACTAGGTATAGGGTGGAGGGAACAGAAAGAGAGGACAGCTTCTTGTGACTGGACAGCTTCAGCAAACAACAACACAGAAGAGTCAGTGCAGGAACGGGCAGTCTTTCCATTGACGTGCCCACAGAGGGCTGTGAGACCACAGGGGTTGTTAACACAAAAACTTCCCAGTCAGCAAAAAAAAAAAAAAAAAAAATAAGTTCCTTGCTGTGGCTGTGCATGCCACAAACCCAACAATGTTGTGGGGTGTGCTGGCAGACAACAAAAGGGCAAACAAGGAGCCCCAAACATTCTTGGCAAAAGCCCAAACGTGCTCATTGGCCACACCTCAGAGCCTAGATGCCCACCACATCACAGCCAGAACTCTGCCTCCAAGAAAGAGGCACCAAAGGCCTCACAAGTCTTATCCGCACATCAAGGCCCACTAGGCCACGCCAGTCTGAAGGACTTGTTCTGTGCACTTCCCAACTGTCTGTACCTTGATTCTCTAGCCTAGGAAACAAACCAAGGAACAACTACTTTGTAGGGTCCAAAGCAGAGGGAACAGGATACTGCAGAGGAAGCATTCAGCATACCAGAGAACACACACATTCGTGACAATGTTTGAGGGGCAAACCCTTGGCCCAAACATGCCTCAAATGGCAAATCTGAGAGATGACAAAGAAAGGGAGTGCCCAGTCAAAGACTGAGAGATAGTGAGGCTCAGTTGAGAAGACTCCTGACAAGGTCAAGGCTGCTCTCGCAGAAGCCCCATGAGGCGAGGCAAGACAGGCACAGGCTCTGTCCCAGGTCCCCGTACCTGCCCTGGCCTACCTTGGCGGTGCAGGCTCCTGCCGAAAGGGCTGGCTTCACAGACAAGTGGGCCCCGAGGCCCCGGCCCCAGCCTCAGGGCACCCAGCCGGCCCTTGTCAGAGCCACTCAGCAGCACCCGTGTGATAACACGGACCAGCTCCCGGATCACAGCTCTTGTGCAGTGGGGCCCGCCTGCCAGGCCATTGGATGGGAAGAAAAAGGGCTTCAAGTGGTGTGCCAGCTCACTCCAGTCAGCCGACGGGCTTCGGGAGTCTCTGCAGCCATAAATCAGCTCACCGTTCTGCAGGTGGAAAAGACAAGGCAGGTCAACTCCAGCAAACTGGAAGGAAAACAACTCAGTCCCCATTAGTTGGGAAAAGGGACCTGACATTTTACATGTACCCTGCACAACTGTGCCTTCTGGGGAAACCCACCCTCACATGTTGATCAAGACATACCCACTGCAACATGAAAACGAAGGAAACTTTTTAAAAACTCTGGTCAAGACCAGAGTTCTGACCTGAAATACAAATGCTCAGACATACAAATGTTCATGCTCATGAACATACAGCATGTTGGCAGCTTGGCACAAACGCAGCCCAAAACAACAGAATCCCAAAGCCCCAGGTCTGGTACATAAGAGCCATGTTACCCACTCACTACTGAGAAACACTGTTATTCTGACCAGCAGCAACCAAACTTCTCAGCCAGTGCAGGTGTCTGTCAACCACCACCATCTTGGCAGGGTCATTCAACATCAATTTAGGCCAAGTTCCTATCAGGATGGGTAAGACTGCCAGCATGAAAGGGGTAGAAATTGATAAGCTTCTACAAGTTAAGTCCAGCAAAGAAACTCCTTCCAGCACCAACACTTCCAAGGCAGGGAGTGTTTTTTACTCACCACTCAGTAGGCCCAACACCATGACTCTGACAGAGGACTGTGGTATCAGAGGAACACCCCAAGAAATGCTGGTCCTTGTGCCCCAGCAGTAGCTGGCACCAGCAAGTGATGACTCTTTGTCCCTAGTTTCCTCATCAGTAAAAGGTCCAGTCAGCAGCTTCCAGGGTAAGCCTCAGTGGCTCCCAGCCCTAGAAACACACTGTAATCCTTTCCAAGCTGTTCTGGGTTTGGGCCATGTAACCTAAGGGACATGGACACTGACATAGCACACGTATGGCAAAATGAAATTACAGGAGATGCCGGGCTTGGCTCCAAGGTCCAAACAGCACTGTACTTAGTGGCCACACTGTGCAGCCCTGTGGAGCCCACATGGCCAGGAAGTAAGGCCTGCCTACAGCCCTGGGGCACAGTCCTGGGAGCAGACAGGCCACAGCTTTAGAGGGACCCCAAGCCAGAGTAAGCTACACTCCTCTTCACTCCCCAGCCATAGGAACTGAGACGAGGGACTGTGAGGAAGTAGGAAATAACATGAGGACCTTCCCTGATCTGCCCCCAGGGGTCTATTTGATGCAGCAAGCAGTTAGCTCCAGGTCCCAAGACCTGGGTCGCAGCAGATGGAGCCTCCAGATGAGGTCCATCAGGGGCACCATGAGAGCCCATAGAGGGGTGTCCAGAACAGTGGGACACACAGTCAGTCATAGGACCAGCAGACCCATCAAGAGATAATGTTATCTGTGAGCTAGGTCTACTGTGGAAGAAGGGTGTGCCACAGGTGCTGGAGGAGGAAGAAAGTAGGCCAAAACTAGGAGCCATGGACTGCAGACAGGAGATAAGGTCAGGACTCAACCAGAGATCCAGGGCAGAGGCCACCTGGCTCACTGTGCAACTGGCCTGTCCTCCAGGTTGGTGAGTGGCTTAGTGATCCCTGAGCAAAGGAAGGCCTCTACTCCCTGGGCAAAGGGTCATTATGCAGACAAACATGCTTGCTCAATGACCTGGAGAGGTGTGACGGCATTCATCAGGCATTACTTACATGGCTATGAAACTATTACCTCAACCTCTGTATTTTTTTTCTATGCTGATTTCAACAGAGGAAATAGTCAGGGTTCTCAGTCCCAGGTCCAAGGGCAGGGTAGTCATCCAGAGGCAAATAAGACACCACTCAGTTTATGGATGGGTCTAATAGGCCAGACTGGATGGGGGCAGTCAGAAAAGAGACCACTTAGGACTCACGCTAAGTGCCAAGTAAATCCCCAGATGGAAGGGAACTATGTCCTTTTTTCTAGATTTGGGAAGATAGGGGCAGACAGAATAAAAATTCACTCCAACTGGATTTCTTAGTCAGACAGGGCAAGTGAGTCAAGCAAAGTTTTCGCCCTGGCTTCCCTCAAGCTCACTTTGGAGAGGCATTCCATGTATAGAAGAGCACCATCCACAGTGCACCAGGACACAGAGGGCAGAAGGCTGTCTGGATCCAATACCCCTGCTTCTCCACACAGATCCATGCCCCTGAGCCAGGAGCGGTCATCAACTCTCATGTGTTAATAAGGACTTAATCTGTACTGGGGCAGTCAGTGGTGAGGAGAGAAAGAAATGTGTCCCGGGGAGAGCATTTCCAATAGTGGCCACACCACAATGTCCTCCAGGTATGGGCCAGCCTTGCTCTCTCCTAATCTAGCCTCTCCAGAGGCCTCATGCCTGATTTCCACCAGCAACAAGCCAGGTGACCACATGGCATCAGAAAGCCAAGTTAGGGTGCCAACCCTAGGTGGCAATGAGGATGCCAAGAAAAAGGAAAATGTCATGAACGTTCTTTACGAGGGACCCTGCCTTTGTCCTATGTAGCTGGGTCACAGAATGATTAAAGCTGCAGGACTGAGAATTCACTAACTTACCAGACTCCTTAATTACAATTTCTCTATATTCCCCAGAAGCACAGGTCTGGCTACCCTCCAGGCACCAGCTCAGCTCCAACTCCAACCTCAGCCACACAGGTATATAAAGAAGGAGCATCCTGGTCCAAGAACCAGAGTCAGGGTCTGTGCATCAAGGAAACATGAGGCTGCCCAGTAGTCAAAGTATCAGCATCATATACCCCAGAGCTCCATGGCATGGAATGGGGCTCAGAAAAAAGACCCAAAGGGCCTGTGCTGAGGCAGCCTCAGTCCAAATGCCTCTGTGTGCCTGGTCACAGAGCCACATGAGTGAGACTAGCACACCCTGGGTTTACCTGGCTCTGTTCCAAGACACCCAGTGGCCTTACCCCAAAAGTGCCATAAAATAAAAGCAACCTTTACCTTAAATATCTTTAAGTTGTTCTGAGCCTCTTGTAACAAGCTTTTCAAGGCAAAGTGCATTCGCTGTTTATTTCTAAAAGAGAAAGTAATATTGAAACAATTAAAAGTAATCTCAGGAATACCAGCTCAAGGTCCTAAGCTTCATGGGTTAAAGAGTAACATTCTTACTTCCTCAGACTTTCCTGGATAGTCCAGAGCCTTCAGTCTGTGCCTACATGTCAAAGCTGAGCCAAGCTCTGAGCTTTTAAGTCAGAGTACAACCCAAGGGCTGGGTCCCATGAGCTATAACCATACCCTCAGGACATTTGCATAATGGACATAAAGTACAGGGGTGCTGGTCTCCTCCTTTTCCAAGTGACCATACCCAAAATGCCACTCTGGCAGGTGACAGATGTGGCTCCAAAGCCTAAACTCCTCCCCTCATTGGAGCAGAGCACATAGCAAGCCAAGTACAGAGTCTCTCTGGGAGCAGGAAGTGGGGCACTGGATTGACCTTAGAGCCAAGGGTACATACATGAGCCCTGAGTTAGTGGAAGCTCAGGACCAGCACAGGGATGAAGGGGCCTCTCCAGTCCTTTCACACAATCCTTTCAGCACCCCATGAAAGCAGAGGGAAGTAGTGATTCTTACCCTGAGTAGAGGTCAAGGGGACAGTATTTACTGATCTGCTTCCACTTCCCATTTGCTACCTGTAAGAAACCAACAGGGTGACAGTGACCTGATGGGGGCAGCAGTGGGCTGACTATATGAAGAACACAGCTAATGCCTCTGGAATACAGTCCCTCAGATACCACCACCCTCAATGCCCCTCAGCCCAGCCCTCAAGTCAGCGGGGAAGAAGACAGCAAGCAGCTTTTTCAAACCACATGGTTACATTTTAGGAATCATATGAATAAATCTTTAAAATTATAATACTCAGAGTGATAGTGTGTTTAAAAAGTTATTTCATATTGTCAACTGAGAAAATAAATTGGCTGACACTTTTGAAAGGCAACATCCATTAAAATTTTTAATTTAGGGCCCTCCCTGGTGGCGCAGCGGGTTAAAGCACTGCACTGAGAAGCTAAAGCCACTTCCACATGAATTCGATTCCTGCCTGCCCCGGAGGTGACCACATGGCGTGGCAGACCTCTCCTGACCCGCCCGCTGCTCCCCTCAGCGTGTATTTCGTCGATCTGCCTGTTCTGCTCCTCACTCCGTCTCTGGTGAAGCCTCTCACCATCCCTGCACGTCTGGCCTGTACCCCAGTTCTGTATGCACAAATAAATAAATCTTTAGAAAAAGAAATTTTTTTAATTTAGATGTTCTCTAACTAGCCAAGTCAACAAGGAATCAAAGGGTCAAAGATGTTCTCCGCAGCCTAACCTAACAGTAATAGCAAGACCCGGAAGCAACTAAATCAAGTCACAGCACAGGACATACTGAATAAATCATATGTTATCCACCCAAAGAGATGCAGAACTAAAAATCACCAAGATTTACTGAAGGAAAAAGTTGGCAGCACTATGGGTACGCATGCCACTTTTGCTTTAAAAAAGAGGCTGGTGGCCCTCCCTGCTGGTGCAATGGGTTAAAGCACAGCACTATGAAGTGATATGCAGCCACTGCAGCACCAGTTTGAGCCCAGCCAGGGAGGTGACCCACAGGGCATGGGAGACCTCTCCTGACCCGCCTGCTGCTCCCCCTCAGCAGTGTATTTCAGTAGATCTGCCTGTTTTGCTTGCTACTCTGTCTCTGGTGAATCCTCTTGGCTCCCACACCTCTACAGTACCCCAATTTTTATATGCATAAATAAATAGAAGGGAGGGAGGAAGGAAGAAAAAGATGGGCCTCCCTGGTAGCTCAAGGAGTTAAGTCTCAGCACTATAAAGCAATCTGCAGCCACTGCAGCACAAATTTGATCCTATTTCGATCCCCATCTAATCCCCACACAGGAAGCTAACCCACAAGGCTCAGAAAACCTCTCCTGTCTCACCTACCCGCTCTCCCCTCAGCAGTGTATGTCAGTGAATCCACCTGTTCTTCCCATCTGGGGAGTCCTCTCATCTGCTGCACCTCTGACCTATACCCAGTTCTTATATACAGAAATAAAAATAAATATTTTTAAAAAATAAAAAGCTATGCTCACTCATCTACACATACATATATCCAGATATGCAGAGAAAAATACCTTGCCTGATATACAGTGAACAATCTTCAAAGATTATGTAAGTGACAAAAGAGATTAGCAGAATAATTGCATATGGAAAGCTCCCATATTTACTTAATAAAATTGTCTGTGTATGTACACCCATAAGTAAACATACATTAGAAAATGTGCAGAGAAAGGTATCATCTTATTTTTTTGTTGGCCCAGGACAAAGTCTATAATGCTATCACCTCTGGCAAGGTTAATGACCCAGTGCATACAAGTCTGTATTTTACCAATTAAAAGAGAAGATATTACCTACTAATAAGAAATAGTTCTTTAAAATTTAAATGAATATAACAATGAAAACTATCTTCTAAAGTGAATGGCTCACACACCTAAAGTTACTTCCCTAAAACCTAGAAGGGTAGAATACCACAAAGAAAATAACATGCAAGTGAGCAAAAATGATTGAGTAAATTCTCTCCTCCATTAGGGCAATGAGAAACAAAAGCTATCAGAATCAAAATTTTCAAAACTCTGAAAACTAACCAAAGGCTTGCAACAATCTGGAGAGCACTGACAGAAGAAAAATGGCCAAATCTAAATAAGAACAGGTAGTACTGTGACATTTAAAAAACTTTAGTCCCACCCTACCCCCAACTTTTTAAGGTACCCTGAAAATCAACAAACCAATCACAGTGAAACCTGAAGTCTGGCAGCTACCCAAGGGAACTGAGCACAGTGGGGAATTTCTCCAAAGCCTCATTCCCAGAAAACAGTCATTAAATTTCTTGTCTTTACTGACCAGATTTAATTCATCTGGTGCAAAAAGATTTTCCCCAGGGCCATCTGTGAAAAATATTCAGAGGTAATTATCTACTTTCATGTATACCTAAGAAGGTGATTGATAGCTAAGGTAAACAATAGGCTAATAACCTAAAGCTAAAAAGCAAAGGCTGAGAAATGAGATGTCCTTAAAAGCGGCAGTATATCCTAGGCATCTAGAAGATTGTGCACAGGAGATCTGAGAAGGCCCTAAGCTCTCACCTGGTGCTAATCTACAGCTCTGGAGAAGTGAGAACTCTAAAGCAGAGTTGTTAGTCACCCCACCCCTCTGCAAACACTTGAGAATTACTGGTTCCAGACATTTAAGAAAATCCCTGTCAAACCATTAACTGCCAACTAAACTAAGCCAAAACTTCAGAGGCCACACATAACAATAAAGAATACAAATTTCTCAGCATAGAACAAAATAAAAATAAATCACTAAAAAAATCAAACAAACATTACAACTATAACAAGCAACAATAATAAGCTCTAGAGAGGGTGTGGAATAACTTTCAGAGTGGCCACATTGTATTACCTAGAATGCCCATTTCAACAAGGATTACAAGGCATGCAAAGGAATATTCACACACAGGGCTAGACTGATCCACACACAGGGGGAAAAAAGCAATCAACAGGCTGTCCCTGAAGAAGTTTAGATACTGGACTTACTATAAGACAAAGACTTCATATTAACTACTTGAAATACACTTAGAGCTGCAGGAATTGAGGACAAAGAACTGAAGGAACAAAGAGAACAGTGTCTTAACAGACATATAAATTATAAAAGGAACCAAAGAGAATCTTTATCTGAAAAGTAGGATAAAAGATCTGATCAGGCAGAAGCAAAAAGCAAATACCCATAAATTTCAGGAAAAAAAGTCAAAGAGATCCACACCTAGACACACTATAATAAGATTTCACAAAGACACAGAATGCTGAAAGCAACAAGAGAGAAGTGACTCACGATATGCAATAGATCTCCCATAAGATTAACAGCTGACTTCTCATTGGAAACCAAGGAGGCCAGAGGGCAAGGGGATGGCATACTCATTGTGATGAGAGAAAAAGCCCATCAATTAAGAATTCTTAATAGAAAAGAAACTATCTTATGAAATGGAGTAATTAAGATATTACAATGCAAACAATAAGTACAAAATATTGTCACTAGTCTAATAGAAACACTAAAGCATGAAATGAAAGGGCACTATTAAGGGAGCCACATTAAGACTTGTAAGTCGTTGGTAACTTTTTGTTCCCATCTGATTTACCAGCTAACTGCATAAGGCAATTACTATAAATATGCACTGACAGACCTGCTACAAAGATGCAGTTTGTATGACAGTAACGCACAAAGAGGACAACAAAACTAGACAGATGCCCAAATAGCCAAAATAATCTTGAGAAAGGAAAACAAAGCTGGAATACTAATATTTCCTGATTTCAAAGTAACAAGCATCAAAATGTGGTAGGTACTGTTAAAACAGAGACAACAGGCCCACAGTGGAATCATTTGTGCTAAGTCCCACATCACCAAAACAAGACTTAACTCCTAACTTAATTGCAGTTTAATTCACTCCAAGGAATGTAATCTTAACTAGTCAGTCTGGAATTCCCTTGTTAAGTAAACTACCTAATAGACCTCTCCTGTTCCCTAAGGGAAGGTGCCATTACCTGAGATAATCTACTCTTATTGCACCCACTCCTACCTATAAAGACCCTACATTTTCCACTTGCTAGATGGGATGCAGCCCAATTAACGAACTGTCTAATAACATCAATTAGATTTTTTAATTTTGTCTCTTTTTTTTAAGATTTATGTAGTGATGCATACAGAGCTAAAACTATAAAACCTTAGCAGAAAGCATAGGTTGAAAGCTTCATTAAGCAAAGATTTCTTAGCTATGAATTAAGCGAAGACTTCTTGGCTATGACACCAGAAGCACAGGCAACAAAAGAGAAAAAAAAACAGACAGACTGGACTTTAACAAAATTAAAAATCTATGTGCACCACATGGGTGACTTGGTGATGGGAAACACACGAGGATTACAACTGAGATGAAAAAAAAAAATGTACAAAATAACGTAAAAATGAACTATTAAAAAAAAAACTATGTGCATCAAAGGACACTATCCACAGTGTATCCACAATGTATCCACAATGTATGTAAGGCAGCCAACACACTGGGAGAAAATAATTACAAGTCACAAATCTCATAAAAGATCTAGAATATATAGAGAACTTCTAAAACATTAAACAATAAACAACCAAATTAAAAAATGGGCAAGGGATCTGACTAGACATTTCTCCAGTAGACATACAAATGGCCAATATATGAAAAGAAGCCCAACATCACTAACCATTAGGGAAATGCAAATGTAAAACCACAATGAGATTCCACTCAATACCAACTAGGATGGGAAGAAATCAATTAGGGACAATAGCAAGTGCTGGTAAGGATGAACAGAAACCAGAAACCCTCATATACTGTTTCTCAAAATATAAAATATTGTAAGAGTCACAGAAAACCATTTTACTTTTCCTCCAAAGTTAAAGGATTTCCTTAAGATCCAGCAATTCCATTCTTGAGAATCCACTCAAGGGAACTGAAAACAGGGACTCAAGATTATACACACACATGTACACAGCAATGTTATTTACAGTAGTCCACACATGCCTCAATAGATGAATGTCATGATAAGCAAAAGGTTCCTATATATTGGGACATTATTCAGTCACAAAAGGAATTAAGCTTTATGTGCCACAACACAAATGAACTTCAAAAGCATGTTTAGTAAAGAAGACAGTCACCAAAGGCCACATTCCACTTATATGGAATGCTTAGAAGAGACAAATCAACAGAGAGCAGACTGGTGGCTGCCAGGGACTGGCAGACTAGGGCACTGAAGAGGGACTGCTTGATGGGGACAGAATTCTTTGTGCGGTCGTGAAAATGTTCTGGAATTAAATGTTCTAGTGATGACTGTATAATCTGTCAATATAATAAAATCCACTGCGACATTGGTAAACATGACTGACTTATGAAATAAGGTACATAATAAATATCTACATTTTTCTTTAACTCTTCTGAAAAATCTTGCTGGTCACACCCGATACGGTCACCCACCAGACAGCTTTGTACAAAAGGAATCAGGGATTTTACAGGCCTTCTCACCTTAAGGTGCTGGTGCATGCAGTAACGACACACTTTATGCTTCATCTCATGTGTAACATCAGTGGAGAATGGAATAAACCCACATTTTGGCTACAAAATAAATAAGAAAAATACTTAGAGGGCATCACATACCTAGAAACAGAAGCAGACACATAACCAACTACAAAATTGTCACCTGCAATACCAAAGAGTGAGCAAGTGTAAGAACTAAATATCCCCAAAAGTTGGGTTTTCTTTACAGCCCTTCATTGCTCCTCAAAACACCTCTTTGCTGCTGCGGACCAAGATCAGAACTCTTAGTGAGGAAAAACAATGGCACCTAAATTGAAAGGTTTGGCACAATACAACACAGAATATCTGTGTATCTCATTAAAGACTCTGATGGACAGACTCCAAGTGCAGATCTGTCCCAAGCACACAGCTCCAAGGAGCAAAAACCCACTTTTTCTGATGACAATATGTGAACAAGAAGGTAGCCATCAGATGGGTGTGTGGCCCCAGTAGTTCCTGGAACTCAGATGCCTTTTAAAAGCCACATTTTGGGGTACATACAATAAACAAAGTCAAGTGTTTAGCACTGAAGACACACTGTCCCTCAGTAATCTGAGACCCTCTGGCTGAGGAGACAGGACATGAGTCCAAACTGAGTACCCAGTGTGAGTACTCAGGGCCAAATGTATGATGTCCAGTCACCACAACAGACATTTGGAGGAAGGTGACAACCAGCAGCCTGAGACATATGGGGAGTTTTCCTGATTCAGGCTCAGGCACCCCTGGACTCTGGGCAGCAGAGGACAGTGTACTGGCCCTCATGCAGCCATAACCACCCTTCACCAGACTTTGATGCCCTTTGTCATCCCCTACTAAAAGACTCCTGGCCATGACAAATCAAGACCTTACATCACACAGGTGTATGTGCCTCTGAGAAGGTCTCACCTAGATAGGACAGAAGCCAGGGAATGGGGTGCCACCCAGTCAAGAGGGTAACTGCAAACTAAGCTCCTGGAGAATGTGGTACCTACTGTTAATCGGTGGAAGGTCAGCAGGGGTACCCAGTAAGTTGTACCTTCTGGGTAAGCAGGGAGGGAGGGCAGAAACTGACACACTTCCTTCTGGTAGCCAGAAGCCAGTGCTTACACAAACCAAGTGTACAGTGTCCAGGAAAGGGCCTAAATCTAGGGGCTGGCCAGTAGAAGTAAGAGCAGACAGCTGTAGGAGCAGGGACTGCTTAGCTTGGAAAGAGGATACCACTGCAGCGGTAGGAAGTATACCGAGCAGATGACTCTTGGATTCACACAGGTCTGTCTTTCCCTTCCCCATGTCATTTCCCCTGGACAAGGTTCACCTTGATCTCCACACACAGAATCGGCCGGTGCTCTGCAAAGCAGTAGGTCTGAAGTCTGGCTAAATTGGGAAGGCACAGGGCATAGCCACTAAGGGTGTCCAGGTCCTTGTCACAGCGCGACTCTGGAAAGGAGAACAAATAAAGTACCTGAGCACTGGTACAAGACCTGGCCTGGAAGACTGTGGGCAAGGAAGGTGTTAGTCCCAAGCATTGGGAAGTCCTGCCTTATTTATCTGGGGATTGAGGCACATGACAGTTGTGTGGCTCACACCCTCAGTATCAAGCTGATCTCTGCTGAGTCTAGGGCAACCATGTGACTATTTAGCTTTGCCTACACACCAAAGCCACATGGAAACCCTGATGATTTGGGAAGTCTCTGCTGCAGACCTCCACGCATGCTGTCACATCTGCTAGGAGAAAGGAGGTTCACTTGACTCCAGTGAGAGCAGGCCTAGAAGCTCATGCTGGGTCCCCTGGAACTGCCTACCTCTTCTGTTGGCTGGTTTAATCTGTCTTTGGCTATGAGAAGTCACAACCATGAGGATGATACTGTGTTGTGGATCCTTCAGCAATATCAAATCAGAGGTAGATCATGGAGATGCTCATATGTGTAACTATTGTGAGAGGGGAGGGACCTCAAGGACTGACTCCTCATTATACCAACTGTGAGAGGTCCTCACCCAGAGACCCAGAGATCTGAGGAAGGGCAACAACCCTCACCTTTTCTCTTTACTGCCTCCCTCGGAGCTGAACTCCAACATCCTCAGCTGCCTGAAGGGTGCTGTATATAGGCCCCAGGTCCCAGGAAGTTGGCTTCCTCCTCACACAAAACAAGGCCTACTAGAGTCACTGCTATCATGGGGATGGTCCTTATCACTACCAAGGAGCATATCTTACTTACATAGCCTCCATCTCCCTCCCCATGTTACACTGGAGCCCTGCTCCCACTGCCCCCACCTCCAGGACAGGAATGCCATAGAGGCCACTGCACAGCTGACATTGGCTGCGCTTCAGGAAGAGGCACTCCCATCCTCAACAACATGAAATCTATGTCTTTGCTACTTGAGAGGAAAGGCTTAGAATAGGAGGAGGTCATTACACCACCAAAAAGTATAGGAAGAGAACAGATGTGATGAGGAAGATACAGGGATGACAGGGAAGAGGTGATGACAAGGAATGGGAGAAGATGGGGAGGGAAGGAATTATAAGAAATAAGGTAGAGACGCTCACCTGGTCGTTCAGACTGAATCTTTAAACAAAGCTGTTTCACAAAATCTAAAGGCAGTTGAACAACTTCCTGGAAGAACAAATATGAAACACTCAGTGCATGTTGCACAACAATCTGAACATAATGTCACAAAACTGCAGTTAAAAATGGTTAAAATAGGCCCTCCCTGGTGGTGCAATGGGTTAGAGCGCAGCACTGCAAGCTAGCTGCAGTTGCTTCAGTGTGAGTTCGATCCCCGGCCCAGGAGGTGACCCACATGGCGCCGCAGACCTCTCCTGACCCGCTTGCTGCTCCCCTCAGCAGTGTACTTCGTTGATCTGTCTGTTCTGCTCCCCACTCTGTCTCTGGTGAATTCTCTCACTGCTCCTACCACCTCTTGTCTGTACCCCAGTTCTGTATGCATAAAATCTTAAAAAAAAAAAAAAAAAGCAATATCAGCAAACTTTTTTTTTTAAAAATTTATTTATTCATACAGAACTGGGGTACAGGCCAGAGATGCAGAGGGTGAGAGGATTCACCAGAGACAGAGTGGGGA